AGGGAAGTACTATCTGTCTGAAATATCCTTGGTCAAGGATTAGGGACTGAGATAAGATGGCTCCTTTGATGAATGAAATAATTTTAACTGTAAGTGAAAAACATAACATGTAACCACTTAGACCTTTTTCAGGTACGTGATACCACTCATCATCCTTCCTGTTTCCAAGTGCCTGCAAGGCTAGACAGAGTTATCCTCAAACAGCTTAGACTGTACCTAGCGGACCAAACCTAGGACAATTGTGATTTTAGCCCCATCTGGATCTGTTCAGGGTTCTTTTGGGGTTTAACTGCCTGTCCCTTTTTATTCAGCACATCACAGACCAGGACAGTAACATCATCTCTGCACAGATGACACTCTGCTCTGAGTTCTTTTCGTGCCAGATATGAACGTCATGAGCTCACAGCTTTTTGGAGGTCAGTGCCTGGATAAAGCAAAGCTGGTAGAAAATGCAGTCAGGGAGGAACAAAACAATGCGAAGTGTGATTAATGATGGACTGGGAGATACTTACAGGAGCGCTCCTTTTTAGGGTTCTTGGGTCCATCTTTCAAGAGCTTGTTATTTAACTAATGCACAGGTGGATTTTGAAAGTTATCAAATGACAAGAACCAGGAAGCTATGGACCAGAAGACTAAATTTCCTTAAAAATCCTCTCAAATTCAGTGGATTGGTTAATTGGCCAAAGCATTCAAACAAATTAAGAACTAACTTTCTTACTCGTCTTCTTTTTTTGTGCTAGACTTACAAATTAACAATTTTAAGGAAAGCAAAATAGCTTCTTGCTGGCAGTTGAGAAATAGAATTACCACTTCTTCCCTGTTTAAGACTATGGAAACTCTTGATGGATTACATTAATTATCTTTGGACGAAACGAGGAAAGTCATTTATTTTAAAGCTTATGTCGTGAATTTCTTAGCCTTTTGCAGTGCAGTTAATCTATGCATTGCTTTTGGAAGTAAACATAGTGCTTAATAATTAGTATTATTTTCAGTAATTCAGAAGAAAAAAGTACAGTAGCATTGTCAGTGGTGGAACTGCCAGGGCTTTTGTTAGATTTTATTTTATTATATTTTATTTTATATATTTATTATATTCTATGGTCTTTTCCTTGCAACCTGATTTTCATGGCCCCAAGCCCCATTTTTCTTGGTGATGTTTAAATGCAGAAGAGAAAGATGGTCTTTGTCCCAAAAGAGCTTACAATCTTTAAGGAATCTGGATCTTTATTATTATGTTAGCTTCATCCTTTATAAGTCAGAGCCCTGAGAAAAAATGACCAGATACTCACCAGGCTGGAGAAAAATGTAGCCATCTCCTATGAAAGAGCTGATTCCTGAAAGTTAAATTTTACTTCAAATGTTTTTGAGTTAATTACGCATATTTCAGCTGTTGTACAAAGTTTAGAATTGTTGGATTAAATATTTCAACCAATGGTTGTGTCTAGCCTAAATAAACAAGATGGTCTCCGTTGCAGGGAACCTGCGTACTTTATGAACTGTGTCTTGTGCAAGGTGGATAGGGAACCAAGACATCAATTTTAAACAGAATTCCAAAAATCATAACTTGCTTAGTCTTCAGTATGAGCTGAGAAACATGAAGACAAAGTTATCTGCTATGAATCTTTGAGGGGACTTGGACAGTGAACCATAGGACTTTGACATGTAATAGGAAAGAGCTATTCTCTTTTCATGTGACGGCAACTGGAACAGACCGTAACTTAATCATTACTTAAAGGAATCAAAATGCTCCATCATTTTTGAATGGGGGGCAAACTTAACAGTTCTACAGTGGCACACCAGGCTTGACTGGCTAAATGTTTAATAGTGGCTGATTTTCCTTTGCTGGGAGAGGAAGATTCAATATCATGCACAATTTTATCTGGAATTCCACCCGTCAGTATATCTTTTTGTCTCTGTGATGAAAAAAGGTTGCTTTGAAACTGCCCTGTAACCTCCATAGCTGGATTGATGTCTCTTCCTTCAGACAGAAAATTCTCAGACTTTAATTTAATTTATTTCATAATTAAGAGGGATTTGTACATATTAAGTTGGTAACTGGCTTAGTTAGCATTTGCTATTTACACTTCAGTTAAAGAAGATGAGGATGAAGAAATCATAAAGGGCTGATTGGATGCAAGCAGTTACTGTACTGCTTCTGTGCTCTTATTACTTACACTGTTTCGAGGGCCTCTTTATCAGACGTGCAGTTTCATAATTAGTGCTAACAAGTAGCTGGCAGGTATCTTTAGTTATAATGGTGACCACAACAGTAAATCTCACAACATCAGATCATTTAGTAATTTATACTCATGCATGACACACGTACACCAAGCTGTGCGAAGTCTTCCTGAATACAGGCCAATTAGACTAGATTTATGTATTTTCCTTCTAGCTGACAGCAGTTCACTGATCCAGTTTTAAAGTGTTAATGTCTGCCTCAGTTAGAGTCAGTATTTGAGACATATCTTGCCTATCAGTTGATGTCTCTGGAAGAAAATGTACATGTAGTGTTTCTGAAACTTCTGAATGACTGTGCTCTTTGTCTCTGTCACCTCCCATATATATTTGTACCATACCTTTTTGCTGTTTAATCCCTTGACCAAACTGTTACCAAAATACAGCTCTTGCTCTACTGAGCACAGGCAAAGTTTGACCTGTGCTCCAAATAGCTGTCCCGCTTCGTTGTCATGTTAATGTTCCATAGGGCATTTGCTTGCTTCCTGGTGAGGATCTTGTGGGGAAGGCTTTCCTAATAACATCTAATGAATAACTGAGATCAGAGAAGTGGCTCACTAGAGAGTCACTCCAGCAATGCTGCACAATGCCAATCTGCTTATGTTTCTAAAGGCTTAGGTATTGTTGTAGTGGAATGAAGGATATTTTCAGAATGACTGGTTAGGAAAAGAGAATTCTGTTTTGCAAATTGCTGAGATTTCCTTTCTATATTGGTAGTTGTCTTCAAATGACTGGTAGTCTTAAATCATGTTACAAGTATATGGAACACTACAAAATAATTGAGCTTTTCTGACTTTAAGGACACTTCATGTATCATAGATCATCTTTTAGTGGGAAATCTTAAGTGTTCCTCAGTACTAAAGACAGGAATAATGAAAAACCACAATCATGGAAGGGTATGCACACAAATAACTTTTTTCTAGTCAGCTGTCCCTAAGGGAAATCCTGATGTCGTGAAAAAGCATTTGTGGAGGCCAGAAGTTTTATTATAAGGCAACCTGTCATTTTTATTATGTTTAACATTTCCAATTAAATATAAGCAGCAGTTAAGATGAACAATTGAATTCATAGTTTGAATAGCCTTATTGAGTTGAAGTACATATGCCAGTCAAAGCAATATCAGAGATAAAACCGCTTACTTTACTGTGTAAGTCTAGAGTTTGAATTTTAATTTGTATAGTGTGCTCCACGGAGCCTTAGCTTTGTTCATGTTCTTCCTAATAGCATTGCTTTGCTACTAGGACTGTGTGAGTCCCTCATTAGTAGAGGAAAATGTTAAAAATATTAGACACATTCTAAAGAATAGATAAGTCCCGTGAGTTTGCATATTTTAAAAAGGTTTATGGTGAAATTAATCTCTGTGGTACTTTACAGTATCACACTATCCTATAAGACTCAGAAACTCTTTTTACCTGTAACTATGTATACCAGGAAGAATGAAGAACTCGATATCAGATTGCCTTGAACATCATTCGCAGTTTGAAAGCCTGCAGTATATGAACTCAAGTACAGACGCTGATTGTAGATCAGTGTAGAAAATTGTATCCTACTACAGAGGTCATTGAGAATGGTATGTCACACTCAATCTGGAAGTTAGAAAACTTGCATATGACATGTTTTAACATATTGTCTCACTTTGTTTCCTTATCTATGTGCGCAATACATGCTGTTAATCAGCATCTACTTGTGCAGTGAACAATAACTGAAGAGTCCATACTGATTGCATGTCCCTGAAATATGAGTATATGTGATCACTTCTTAGTCTTGATAGAGAAATACACCCTAGGCAGGAGCTGTGCCTGTATCCAAGAGCTGGAGGACATGACTGAACTTTCTCTGACAGTCTGCTTTACACACAGGAAGGTACTGTACAGATGTCTCTGAGAGAAACTGCAAAGCAACAGGTATTCTGTTACAGGCACGAGTTCCAGTCTGGGGCGGTTCTTCTGGGGTAAATTGTGTCCATGTAGCTGAAAGTCACACAAAGGAAAGTAGTAGCTAAATTGCTACGGGCTTCACAGCCTGTGAGATATCTGTGGGAACTCTGATCCTGGCAGAAGAGCTACAGACTTGAGATAACAATGGTGATGGACAAGGTAGCACAGAGTATCTAAAATAACTCTAGGTGCTTGTGTTTTATGGTGACTGAATTCTACCCATGAGACCTTTATCCCTATTGCCACTGAAAGGCACTATTTCTTGAGAAAAGTTGTATAGGAACTTTTTCCCCATACTTTTTCACAAAGAAGTCTAAGCTTAGAATAAAATGGCTGATATTTTTTAGCAAAAAATTAAATTTAAGTCAAGGTAAGTATGGCTGCTGACATGGAAAACTTCAGTCCAAAGGGCTGAAGTTTGTCAAACTAGATACAACACAAGAACAACACGGCATTATGCATGGGAACCTGACAAGGTTTGGTTGTTCAGCTGAGTCTAAAGAAACAAAGCATTACTCTTCCGTTCCACTAATTTTTTTTCTTCAGTCTTTTATGGATTGAATCCTAGCCAGAGAGATCAAGCCAAGAACTTCACTCTTCCTATTTCAGGGTTGTAAAAACACACTCAGAAATCACAGAGAGTGGGGATCACAGGTCTTCTCTTTCTCTGTGGTCAGCAGAGTGTTTATAAATTCTACGTGTAGATTCAGTGTGTATTAGTTGCTCTGTTAAGAAGAGATTTACACATCAGCAAGTTAAGCCAAAATGCTTACTATTCACATGAGTCTATGCTGTCCATATCAGCCATCGTCCCTTTTCTAAACTGCCCAGAGTGAAGTGCTTGAGAAATGTGCTGGTTTGGCAAAATGAGAACCTTCTAAGTGACAGATATGAAAGCTGACAGTCCATTTGGTCCGACTTGCTAGTCAGAAAATGACAAATGTCTTTTTTTTCCTTCCTTTTAAGAAAGCCTGACTCCTCCTAATGGCTGATCAAAGCCTGGTGCAGAAGGTGTAATCCTCTGTGACATGATTTTGAGTTGTTGGAATATGCTTCTTTTTAAAGTTTAGCTTATTGAATTCTTCTGTGATTTCTATTATTGATTTTCCTTTTGTTTCTGGAAGGAACAGGTGGATAATTATCCCTGAAGTGAAAAGTACCCCCATAAAGATGAGGAAGCAGAAGTGCTTGAGTCTTTCCTGCAGGGAAGAGAAAAGTGAGAAAGAGAGCAAGATGAGCATATCTTTTCTTTTGTCACTTTCTTGGCACAGTTTTTGTATTTGTGTCCCAAAGTACTTTGAATTTAATAAGGACTTCCTTGCGTTTTGCCCTTTGACAAATATTTCAGTCTGAATAAGTATCTTTGGTAAATCAGGGCCCTTCAGTTGCAAAAGTGAACTGGGGACAGGAGGTGCCAAGGCCACACTAGACTGACATGGCATTGTCATCTCCTGCTGCTTTTCTTCCTGCTCCCATGGCCACCTTAAGCTTAGTGCCCTTGGGGATTGCCCCAGGGAAAGTCACTCACCACAATGAATGGGAAAGTTGTTCCAATCACAAAGACGCCCAGCCAGTTGAGAACTCCGCTGATCACAAAGGCAGGTGGTCTGCATGAGAGCTTGAAAATTTCAACCCTAACGGAAACTGTGGCACCAGCTGAAAGGAAAGAAGAATTATTACTTGTTGACATGTTTAGTTTTAGTTTGGATTGAGTAGTACCATTACCACAGTCAGCAAACAGATGCTACTATCATGGACTGGCATTCAAAAGACATGAATATGTCACTGTTTTTTAGAAAAAAAAAGTGTTTTTTGCATCTTATAAACTGCTAGACATCAACTTATTAAAAAAGTAAATTATTCAAATACATTTATAGGGGCAATTAAAAGTTAAGTAGTTAACACTTGAAAAAGTCTCACATCTCATGAAAGAAGCTGTTTAAGGATGGAGTAACAATCATTATTACTAATAAGAATTCGTAGCATGATACTGCTAGATCACCAATGACTGGTCTTCCTGGATTCACTTCCTGGGCATTTCAGTTATGTTTTGAAGTCACAGATCTTTGACAGCTTTGAGTTAGGAAAACATTTCATCCCTGTCATATGGGAAGTCAAATATATTAAAAATGAATAGGCTTTGAAAAAAAATTAAAGAGGAGCAAGTGGTATATGCTAGGAAAAGAATTACTCTGAAGTAGGTCTTTTGCACTGCTGTCTATGTGGCATAAGATGTAACATTATACAACACCGAATTTAAAAGAAAGCTGGCTTTTCTTTTTCTCTTTTGTTTTTCTTAGTATTTTTTTAAAAAAAGTTTTACCCATCTGCTTTTGCTCTATTTTTGCTGTATTTTTCCAGTGAATACTTTCTCCTGTGTTCCTTTGCTCTTGTTATCAGAACCGAAACCTGGTGGCATTGAAGTTTATGGCCAATGACTGGACCCATGATGTTTAAATGACTACAGGATTAGGTTAAATAAATTTATTTATGCTAAACATTATGCAATATTATGCAGTATTTTTCTAACCATATTAATAAGCTCATGACTTGATTCCTTTATTTCTTTTGAATGAGTACTTACCTGGCCCAAGTCCAAAGACAACTGCAAACAAGATAATCAGACACAGGCTGCAGTATGGCATCCAGAAGTACCAGTCCTGGGGAAAAAAAATAACTCCTGTGGATGGAGCAGTAAGGTTTTTGTTAGGTGAGCAGAGAAGCAGATTTGTTAGTGTAGAGCAGCTGTCAAGCTGGGAAGCCTTCAATTAAAGGAAATTTGAATAGTACTTTTCTACCCTGTCTTTCCTTCTTCCCTTTTTGACTCCACAGTGCTTATCGGTAGGCCAAATCATATCTTTCTTCACTTTTGTTAAGTGATAGATTCAATAACTGGTACTGAAAAGGAACTTTCCTAGGTCTTAGTCAAGAAGATATGAGACTCGATGCTTTTGGAAAAAAGGTTTCTCTCTCATGAGATCTTTCATGAATGAAACAAAAATGGAATTCTGCTGCCACCTTCCTTCAAGGCTGATTTTACAGTACCATCTGTAGAGTAGGTCTTGGATGAATACTGGTAAACCAGGAGACTTGCTTCTGAAGGAACTACAGCAACGACACAGAATTACAGAGGTGAACTGGTGTACAGTGTGTGAATGTAGACTCATAGAATGCTTTGGCTTGGAAAGGACTTTTAGAGGTCATCTAGCCCAATGCCCTTGCAGTGAGCAGGGACATCTTTAACTTGATCAGGTTGCTCAGAGCCCCATCCACCTAGGCCTGGAAAGTTTCTAGGGATGGGGCCTCCACTGCCCCTCTGGGCAACCAGTTCCAGTGTTTCTCCACACTCATTGTAAAACATTTCTTCATTATATCCAGTCTAAATCTACCCCCGTTTAGTTTAAAACATTTACTCCTTGTCCTGTCACAACAGCCTTTGCTGAAAAGCCTGTCCTCATAGGAGATGTTTTTCAGCCCTCTGATCATTCTTATGGCCTTCTCTGGACCCTCTTCAACAAGTCCATGTCTGTCCTGTGCTGAGGGCTCCAGAGCTGGACCCAGGATTCCAAGTGAGGTCTCAACCAGAGCAGAGTAGAGTGGCAGAGCCACCCTCCTCGACCTGCTGGCTATGCTTTTTTTGATACAGCCCAGGATACGGTTGGCCTTCTGAGCTGCAAGCGCGCATTGGTCTCTCATGTCCAGCTTTTCGTCCACCAGTACCCCCAAGTCCTTCTCCTCAGGGCTGCTCTCAGTCCCTGCATCCCCCATCCTGTATTGATACCGAGGATTTCCCTGACCCAGCTGCAGGACCTTGTACTTGGCCTTGTTGAACCTCATGAGGTTCACACAGGCCTACCTCTCCAGCCTGTCCAGGTCTCTTTGGATGATGTCCCATCTGTCTGCATGTCAACTGCACCACTCAGCTTGGTGTCATCTGCAAACTTGTTGAGGGTGCACTCAATCATGCTGTCTATGTCATCGATGAAAATATTAAACAGCACTGGTCCCAGTACAGACCCCTGAGGGGCACCACTTGTTGCTGAGATATGAACAGATACGTGCATTTCCAGTATCTTCTGCAGCAAAATTAGATTTCATATTAACTGATGCAAAGAGTCTGGGGTTTTGTTGCTTGTTAAAAATTGCATGAATAGAAAGGGCTATTTTCCTAGGACTGTCTTTTGATCGATGTTGGCTAGTGTTTGGTGCTTGCAGTCTGATGAAATCAGGAATCAGTGCTAGTCTCCCAGTGTTTTATGTGCTGCTTGCTGAGCTCATGGGATCCTGTTGAAAGGAAGGGAGGAGTACAAGACAGTACTTGCAGAGAGAGGGTTTAATTCTACGTAAAGACAAGCTTGATCGTTAGGATATTCCCCTCCTGGAGGGTAAGCTGTTAACACAGAAGTTATTTTGGCGCTTCTAAGCCTCACTTTCCTTTCTCAGCAGCATGGGCCTGCCTGTGAGCAGAGGTTATCAATAGAATAGACAGAGAAATCTGCCATGAAAAGAGTTTCTTTACCTGCAGGGAGAGAGTCACAGTAATACCAGCTAGCAGTGAACCCATGATCCAACAGCCTCCTCTTAGGAGCACTTTCCTGCCCAGTTGCTCAATGATGGAGCTCTGAAGGACAGAAATCACACTGGTATCTGTGCCAGAACAGCAAACTGTGACCCATTCCCATAGCAAAGTTAACTTACACAGACTACAGTAGCTGCAAGTTCAGAGAGTCCAACAGAGAGGGTCATATAGGAGATCATTCTTTCATCAAAGCCGGCTGCCTGAAGGACTTCAAAAGTATAAAAGTAAATCTGGAAAAAATACCCATAAAACAGTAAGAGAAGAAAATAATTTCTTACCCATACCTGTGTGACACTGTCCTGGATGGGAGCTGCTAACCAAGGAGATGCAGCTGAGCTTTGGAGTGAGCTTTGTACACTTTATTGGCAGACAAAAGCATTGTAAAGTGTAATTAATTAATTAATTCAATAAAAGATAAAATGCTGGGATAAAAGGACCTCCAGCTGCTGCAATGTAATTAGGTTTGCAAAGTCCTGATTTAGGTGCTTTCAGAAACAGACAGGTATATCATCACTTCTGGAGCCCATCCAAAAAGATCATTGTAGGATGTACTCTTCTCTCTTGAGAAAGAAGACCATGGATTATGGAGTCGTGAGGGGGTAAAGCAAGCATCTTTTCAAGTATCTCTGCCACTGTTTGGAGATATGCTGAGATAATAAAATTCCCATTTAAGCTGTGTTAGATTCAGCTGTGTATTTCCTTTACTGATGTTGCTGCATTGTGATGTTAAGTGGTAGAAAAATCATGCAGGTAATTACAAAGCTGTGGCTTCAAAATGATCCCAGAAAAGTGTTGCTTGTGGAAGAGGTGAAGGACTGTGGAAGCTGCCAGAACAATGAGCGTACTCATTGATTAGCGTTGAAAGCAGAGTGAGAACACTGCCATCCCAACATCTTAGGGTGATAAGAGCTGGGGGCCAAATAGCAGCAGTTGCAGAGAACAGCAATGTAAAACTGCACTGCAGATTTTGCCAGCGTAGAGTGGGCTTGCTTGTAAAAGTGCATTCTGTGGCCTTGTAACGGCTTCCAAAAATGGCTCTTAAATAAACCTAACTATGGAGGAAGGTAACGCCAGGAAGGACGAAGAGCTAGGCAAAGGGATGTCATGTGATAAGCCTGGCCAAGCTCTGCAGACTGCTGCTGCTGCTCCTGTAGGAAGGCTGACAGACAGCAAGTTGTGGCCTGAGAAGCCTGAGAAAAATGGAGGGAGCTCCTGGAAGCCACGATGTCTCCTTTAAGATTGTCAATAAGTGTTTTGAAACTTTAAGAGGGAAATACACTCAACTGCATTGATGCCACACAGCTGAACTGTGGCAGTCAGAATAACTATCATGTACAGCTGCCAACGGAAAGCTGGTTCTTTCATTAGCTCCAGGACACTCAAGATCTTGGTGTTTTTCATTGTTGCCTTCTCTTTCATGATGTCATCAATCTCTGCTTGGTGATGGCCTTCACCCCAAAGCTGCCTTATGGCTGTAGAGGAGAAGGAGAGCGAAACCTGCCATGTTAATTCGTCTCTGTTATATGTTGCCTAAGAAGTTTGTTGAGTAGGTGATGCAAGTGGCTGGCAGCACAGCATGCATGCAATGTGGCTGTGGTGTGAGGCAGAGATATCCCACAGTGTGTTCCAGAGCCCTGGTCCCCTCCTGCACAGAGGGACTTGTTCTGATAGAGGGGCCTAGTGAGGTGCACAATGACTCCTTCCCTGCCCATGAGTCTGCTTTTCTCCCTCTTTCTCTCAGGGTATGAGCAGGGTACACAGCCAACAACCCTAAGCCCTATGGCCCTACGGAGCCGTTTATTATTTAATATTTATCATTTACCACCAGACTGACCACTCAGGTGACATCAGCTGAATGCGAAAGGTTTTGTAATACAAAACTGTAGAGAGAAGTAGTTTCATGCTTTATATGGTGACTACAACAAAAATATACTTAGTAGGTATTCACAGAGTCATCTTAGAAATGACCAAGGAGAGACTTTGTTCTGTTTATTTTTTTCCACACTGGGAGAGAAAACATCACAAACTAACTGAAAGCCAAGTGAGGAACAGGAACCTGGAGGCCTCAGTTACCTTTTTTGCATCCTTCTTGGTCTTCTTTATGCATGAGGAGATGTGGTGGGGACTCAGGGAAGAAGGGCAGAGTTACCAGCTGGACCAGTGCTGGAAGTCCACAGGAAGCCATCAGCATGGGCCACAGGGACTGGCTGCCCAGCAGCTCTCTGTTGGGAATAAAATGTTTGTAGAATAAAAATTCACTGCGTTGGTTTTGAGGAGACAAAGGGATGGATGTAAAAGCAGAGGAAGAATGAAAAGGTAGAGAGGATCCAGGAATTAATTGGGTGGGAAATTAATTGTATTATACCTTTGTCCTGAAATTTGCCCTATGGCTTTTCCCAGTGACCAAAAGAAAGAGGAAGTGGAGTTTACAAATCCACGTAGCTTCCTAGGGGAAATTTCTCCAACATATTGATGATGTAGAGGAACACAAAGACCTTGAGGTGAGGAGAGAATTATGGGAAAGAAGAAGGAAGACACTCATAACCATTGGAAATAAAATTGCATGGAAATAATTAAGCATTGCAGAATATAACTGCCTCATGGACAGAATTGTTGCTCATACCTCAACTCACATACAAGATTTTTCAGTACTAGATTTTCTAGCCCTTTCTACAAAAGTATTTGGTCCTCTTTGTGTAGTGCAGTTTAATAATCTCAACCTTTTCTGACATAATACTATAGAAGAGCTGTAAGGTAGATCCAGATCAGATTGAAATATACAGTCCTATATTCAATGTTGATTTGTACATGATTTAGACGGAGACACAAGTATTTCTTTTCCACCGTCCAGCAATAATTTTGATGATTTCAGGCAGACTTGATGTTTCCAGCTATATGTGAAGTACTTAAGACCTCAGACATGCTGAAAATTAGTCTGGGAACAAGAGCTATTTCCTGATATGGTGGTCTCAGCCCCTTTTATCTCTTTTGAAAGCAATATGTTCTTCTCTTGGCTTTATGTGATGGCAAAGCAATGCAAATATGCAATCTCTTTAACAAAAATTAGATCTTTGCATGAGGCATGATACGGGTTTTAGGCCATAGCAGGGCCCCTGTGGGTGAGTGGTTCTCAAAATACAACTGTAGTTCTTCAATACAACTTTATGTTAGAGAAGCAATGTACAAAACCTGGTTATTTGAAAAACAGACATTATTTTTAATGAAAAAAGTTAAAATAGGCTTCCCTGTGAATATCCAAACTGAATGGAAAAGCAACTTTTTGTGTAGGAGACAAATACAAGGCATACTGATACCAGCACAGGATGTTTTCGCTGCATGTGGTCTACCTGCCAGGAGTGATATTGCTTGATTATGCCCATCTCTTTGTACTAACCCCAAGGACATACTGCTTTAAAGCAGACTGAATACCCTTGTAGAACATTCCTGAAATACGTTCAAAGTCAAAAATAGAAGGCTATGGCTTTGAACAGCCTGGTTCTCTGCAGCCTTATGAGAATAGTAGCTTTAAACCGTATACCATAGAATTTTCAGTACTGTTAACCAAAATTAAGATAATTGTATACATATTTTTCCATCAGAAAAAACCTTGCTTCATATTGTATCGAAACGTTCCTGACAGCTCTGAATATTTATACACTTGGCAAAGCTGAATTTCATTTGTTATCAGATCTTCTGACAAGGGGTCACTGACTTCAATTTTTTATTTTCTTAGTGGAAGGTTATATTTGCTACGAATCAAGATGTAAAATTTTGGGAGAGCCTGCTGATCTGTGGGAGAAATTGCTTACCTGCACTTATTCCACACATGAAGCGTCCAATTAGAATCATCTCAAAGGACCTGGCTATTTTACTGCAGCCCATGATAGATGCTGCCACCAGCATGAGCAGATTGTTGCACAAGAGGCATTTCTTTCTGCAAGTGCAAGAAAGCAAAAAGAATTTTTGTAAATCAGAAGGGAAACTGCACTTAAGCTCATGGCATGTAGGATGTCTTGGGTGAAATGGTCTTGCTAGTTTTGTGGAATTATACATTTGTGGTGCAGGAAAAAGTAAGCCCTTCCACACTATTGTCACTGGATACTCTGGACTCACAGTGTGCCTTGGCACACAGCTAGAACTGGGAGTTTGGGAACACTTCTGGGTTTTGTAGCAGAGAAAAGTTTTAAAGCTTTTCTGCACTTGAAAATCCATCATGAAACACATTGATGTAGCACTTAGGAGCATCTTCAATGCTGACTAACCCAACCTGAGTAGCTGTGTCTGGCATGACAGGCTGGCAGCACAGTTGATTAGCCTGTGCCATAGGACAAGGGCAAGAAGCAGCAAAATCTGTTGGCACCACTGCTAAGCTGGCCATATTACAGTCATGGTTAAGCCTAAAATTCTGTCTCACATTTAAATCCTCAATTGTCATTTCCTTAAGATAAGATTCAGTTGACAAAATGTCTTTAAACATACATACTTGCCATACTTGATAGTCAGATATCTACTTCCTGAAGAACCCAAGAGACCTCCTATACCAAAGATGGACACGGTGATAGACCATATTGGTTTAGCCGTATCGCTCCAGCCAAGTTTCATTAATGAAAGCCTTAACATGCTGAGAGAGAAAAAAGAATTTTCATTAACTGTGACTCCAGTGCATGTAGTTTGTTATATTTAGAAAATAATTTTGTTAGTTCAGCTAAAGTCACTATTTCATAAAGACTCTAAAAGTGTACATTAGCAGTACATTACCACATAGGGTAACAGAGTATGGTGTGTCTGCTTTGCTGTTAAAAGTAGTTCATTCTATGTTGTTTTGTCCTTGAAACCTGAGGAACTGAGGCACAGACCTGTAGTGAAGAACAGTGTCAAATGAGACCACTGAAGTAGGCACATGTGCTGTAGGTTTATAGGGGAGACAGACGCTGCCCCAGTCAATGTGCATCTTCTAAGAAACAGTTCTATAAACAACAACTTGAAGGTCTCTTTTCTTCTGTTTTCAACACTTTGACATGTTCTGCTTTACATGATAGCATAGTAATGGGAAAGAATTGTGAGAGGAGAATATTGTGATTAAACCCTTGCTGACTGTCAGGGAGGAGCAAAAAAAGGAATGTAAACTTGGTGCCACTGTTGACCAGTGTGCCATGTGCTTCTTCGCTTACCTGAGACATGTAGGTGATTGTAGAAGTTTGAAAGCCAACTTGGAATGTTCCACCAATCCCCAGGACAACGAGCATTTGAAAAAGCCCCTGGTACTGCACCTGCAGAGGTAGAACAAAATCTTCTTAAGCTTGTAGCCACATCTGGCTGTTCTCTGGAAATGTCTCATTTGTTCAAGGGATTTGCAGACAGGTGTGTTC